ATAGCTGCAAAACATTTTATTTTGGCTTCCTCTGGGGGTGGTTTGGCAGGGTAGTAGTGAGCAGTTAGATGAGAGAGGTGATAACTAAAAAGATTCACACATCTGCCAATAAAATTCTCTTCATTCTAATACTGCAGGGCTGAACCATAGTGAACAGCAGTTCTGCATCCTAACCTTACAGTAATTTCTCCTGAGAACTTTAATAGTTCTGTCTTGTGACCTGGGCTATTCATTCTCAAGCTTGCACTAGCATATAGATGGAATACTTGTTGCCAGGTGTGAAACAGGTTCTTTCTCTCTCTCTCTCCTTTTTAAAATCACTTTCAAATCTAGCCTTCAGTTGCTGATTTCCTCTGACCATCTACCTCCACTGTCATACTACTTCCTTTGAATTTCCATCCAAAGGAGATCATGAGCTCTTCTGAACTGTGTCTATTGTGTTTTGTAAAGCACAGTGAATACATATAATGCTGTGCATTAGTGGTGAAGTATGAGGTTTCTTAAACAAAAAGAGCTACCACTAGTAGACTTACCAGGCTACTTAACTACTCTATTCTTATTGATCTTTCTTCTCTAGGTGGCATGGCAGGATTGCAGTCAATGATGAGACAGTTTCAACAAGGTGCTGCTGGAAACATGAAAGGCATGATGGGATTCAATAATATGTAAAGAAGCCTTAATAAAAACTGACTTGGTTGATGACAATTGCTGATCCTTTGATAAAAGGATTTTGATTTCTTCCTTTTTACAGCAAGAGAAAAGTGTGTCGATGGGGGTGACGGAAGTTACCTTTTGAAACTTCTATGTGGGCTTCTCAAGTAAACTCTAAATTGATTTCTGGAAAGCAGTTATATTTTTGCTTAATTCCTTTCCATCAAAAGGAGTTCTTAAGTTTAATAATTGAAAATCATGATGTAAAATTTTAATATGTAGAGACACTTTTTAATTGTTTGCATTAAATGGCAGCCATTATATTTGTAAACAATCCAGATCTTTGGTTAATAGTAACATAAAATGTCACAATAAATATGTTGTAAAATAAACTAACGGTTGTAAATGGAAGATTTTTTTTCTTTGATTTTAAAACCTATAAGTAGGATTTCACCTTTATATGTGGTAGTGTGCAGATGACCACTGGTCGCTGATAACAGTACTTAAATAACATTTACTAGAGGGAAAATAAGAAGAAATAAATGCTTTTGATATATTTGAATGTGAGATATTGAGAGTGGCCTGTAAACCAAAATTTGCATCTTATCTCTTCTCCTGTTTAGTATCTAGAAACAGTATGTTGAGAGGGTAATTAAGGAGACATGAGTTTCAAGTATCTTCCATATGCTCGTGACCTCTAACTTTGTCTTACTCTCCCAGACAGCATATTTTGCTGTGAGTATATTACACTGGTGCTCTATAATCTGCAATAAATGAAATTTAAAATATCTATACTGACCATAAAAGCTCTAAATGGCTTTGGACTGATGAATCATAGAGCTGAAAGAGACCCCGGGAAGTCATCAAGTCCAGCCCCCGGCTCTAGGCAGGACCAATCCCAACTAGATCAACCCAGCCAGGGCTTTGTCATGCCGAGACTTAAACACCTCTAGGGATGGAGACTCCGCTACTTCCCTAGGTAACCCATTCCAGTGTTTCACCACTCTCCTAGTGAAATAGTTTTTCCTAATATCCAACCTGGACCTCTCCCACCACAACTTGAGACCATTGCTCCTTGTTCCGCCATCTGTCACTACTGAGAACAGCCTTTCTCCATCCTCTTTGGAACCTCCCTTCAGAAAGTTTTGGGAGAATACCTTTTTCCCTATACAGCAGAGCCTCACTTTTACAATCCTCCATTATCAGTCTCTTGTATTAACCAAACAACCTGCACACCCAGGTCCAGAAGCAGTCATTCTCTCCTGTGGCCACTAGATGATGTTGGAGCCACACATTTTTCCATATTATGGGATCTAGCTCTTGTCCCAGTTAGATCAAATAAAAGGTGTTCTGCTGTGTCTACAGACACAGTTGCAGTGAACAGAGGTGCTTAAGCTGGAACTCCTATTTTTTTTATTCCTCTCCTCCCCCCACCCCCCCTCCCCCCCAAAAAAAGGAATTAACTGGCAATTGTGAGGGGAACTCAATTTTCAGCCCTGGTCTGAAATGGGCAGAATCTACTGACCTTAGGGTATGCTTCAATAATTCATCTATTATCCCTGATTTCTGGAGTAGTGGAACAATTGTTGAGGGGTTGGGGAAGAGGGGCAAGGACAGATTTTTTCAATATCTATTTTATATCAATTTTTGACCAAGGAAGCAGTGTTAGTATTAATTTCAGTATGGGCCCCAAGAGACACAGGTATTAATGTCACTGTCCAATGTTAAACAGGATTTGGCATACTAAGACATCATCCTGCTTTGTACCATTTCAAACACCCTATTCATTTTAAAACGTTCATTAAAGATACTGATTTACAGGCAAAAACATAAGGCATCTAATACAGCACTGAGGCCAATAAGGATTTGTTTACAATATGCACTTCTATTATTTTGTTTCCTTGGGTGACAAATGTAATTTCTCCCAAATATTAAATCTGTAGTAAAGCACACCTATTCTTGCTTTCCTCTTACTGCCCCGTTTATACTGTAGATAAGTCAGTGGAATGACCATGTTGTGCTGAAACCAGGTCTCTGATATGGCTATATTTGTAATATAGACAGGGCCTTACAGTAAAAAGAGAAAATGTTGACACTAAACTGTGCAAAAGATTAATCAAGACTCTCTCCCAAGATTTTTAGGAAAGAATAATATGCAAGGAAGCAGCCAATCTTATCAGCAAATAGGGAGTGTTAGCTGTTCAGCTACAATACTCATCTTTGAATAAAACGTGACAGTCTGTTACATCCTGTTTTGAATACTTGCTTCCTGTAATAATCTTGGCTCTACATGCTCCATCCCTTTTTCAAATATTTCCTGTGGTATGCAGCCTAAACAGAATAATAACAACCACCTAAATATTGTGTAAGTGTAATTTGGAATGCATACTGCTCAGTTTTCCACATCTTGTGGAATATATATTGTAGGAGGTGATATCAAAATTAGTTACAGCATGGGAGAATCAAATTCATAGTGACCTTACGTAATTTGTTCCTTCACATGAGACCACCTACAGCTCTTTTCACTATTTCCCATTTTAAGTGTTTTTTATACTCATAGGTAACATTTGGCATTCTTCTGTCTGAACACAGTTTACAGTACTAAAGCTTTAACTTTTTATCATAATGTTCACATCTTCAACTTTCATTGTTCTCATTGATTGCAGGATTCTTTTTGTGAGAGGAGATTTCTCTTACTCTCTCACATCGTGCTCCTTTCCTCACATCTGTCTGGTCAAGTTGGTTTCTAAGCTAGTTACCTGTCTGTTTTCTAGCATCCACCTTCTTTATCTCAAGTAAAGACACTTCAGGTGTGCTTTGATATAAACCCCAAATGCAACCTATTCAGCATGCGCCTCGTCCAGTGTTTCTTAGTGTGTTCCGCGGCACACCCAGGAAGTCAGAGGTGTGCCACAGAGAGAACAGACTTCAAAATGGCTGACCTTAAAGGAACAAGCCTCTTTTTGGGGGGGAGGGGAGGGCTCAGCATCTTTGCCCTGGGGGCTTTTTTTTCCCTCAAAATTCTTGATGTTCCCCATTAAAAAAAATTTGTTTGGTGTTCCTCAGTTTTAAAAAGTTTAAGAAACACTAACCTAGGCTATGTCTACACTACAGCGGTTTTTTTGGAAAAACAGCCGTTTAAATAGAACAACAACTTCTTATGTCCACACTGCAATCCTCTTTCTATGAGGAAGAAGCCTTTTTCTGAAAGCTCCTTCGGAAAAAGGCATGTGTGGATGGGGAAGAGGGAGCTCTTTCAAAAGAAGAGGAAAGAGGAAAAAGCACAGGTGCCCTGAGGGCCACTCCGTCCGTAGTAATCACAGCTTAAATGCAAGATAGCATCCACACTGAATGGATGCTATCTTTTGAAAAAGCAGATTGCTTTTTCGATGTGCTTTGGCAATGTGGATGCTCTCTTTCAGAAGAAGTTTTCTTGGAAGATCTCTTCCAGAAAAAAGTCTTCTGAAAGAAGCCTGCAGTCTAGATGTAGCCATAGATGCTTACGGCTTCGAGTATGGATAAGAGGTTTCTGCAAAAACACATAGCAAGTCTACAACCTAGACTTGCCCAAAGAAAAACGTTGAGGAATGCTGTCTACCCAGATCACTGAGCACCGCTGTTCAAGACAAAATAACAATATGCCTTTGTTATGTATAACTTTGACCTATAGTCACGAATGTAGTATCTTAGTAAACTTGCAGGAAGCTTCTCAATCAAAAACATTAGATTTCCCCCCCTTTGTATGATCCCTGTAAGGGCTCTTGTATAAGTGTTCCTTTGTCCAGACTGCCCTCCCCCCACCAAACTACTGTAAGTGTATCTCAGCTATGAACATTTGTGCTAGTATTTTACATGAAAGCAGTCTTGCAATTGCACAGGTGCTATCCAAATATCTGTAAAGAAATTGAAGAGGTTACTCAAGCTACTTGGGTTTACTATAAACTATGATCAAAATCAATGTAATCTATAAAAAATTAAAAAGGTCATTTTTTGGTTATGATCAAAATCAATGTAATCTGTAAAAAATTAAAAAGGTCATTTTTTGGTTTGAATAACAAAAAATTCACATAGCCATTGTTCTCAACCATAATTTTGTATGCAAGAGTTTAGTTTTAGAGTTGAATGCCCTTAATGAAGATGAAACTTACAAAGAAGGGGTATATTGAACAGGAACAGTGAAACACTATACTTCTGCACAGGCCAATCGGCAGCAACTCAAATCAACAAATGATTCTTTATTTCTATTTTCAATTCATTGCACAACTGGGGCTTTCTTACAATTTTATGGCTGCCTCAAATTTCAGTTACTGCCACAAGAGTGACAGTCAGGTCAAGACACTGGTGAAGCTTTCCTGCCGGAAGCAGGTGCAATAGGCATTTCCTAACCTGCTGGATATGTGAACCAGGAAGCACTTCACAGTTACTGTACATATAATTTGGGATTTTCTTTTTCACTATTTCAGTCTTACTCTCCTAGTTCACTCGAACTGGATTCCATGGAATAATACATCTTTTAAAAGATTTAGAATTCAGAAGCGATCATTATGACCTAAATGGATCACTGTTGTTGAATGCTCTGTAATCCTACTGACAGAAGAAATGCAGTCTTCCACCTTATCAGTCTTTAAAATGCTACATAGTCCTGTTTTTTGTTTCAGCTACACCAGACTAACACGGCTATATTTTTGTCTTCCACCTAGGTTATAGATACCGAAGAAAATTGTCAGCAGACCCTGCTTGTGGGGGCCCCTAGTTCCCTGTGTACAGTGGCTGCTCCTGCATCCCATGGAGTAGACTCTGTCCATGGGGAGCTCAGCCCTGCAAACGGGCTGCCACTGTCCCACACTGCTGCCTCTGATACAGATGCAGCAGCAGGCAGGAGTCAGTTTTTAAACTGGCTTTCCACATGGATCGGCTCCCACCTGTTGCCCCATGTGTCAGAGGCAGTAGCGTGGAGTGGCAGGCGGCTCCCCTGCGTGCTTTTCATTTAAAACTTGAACCCGCAGGCTGGCACTAAGCCAGCCTTTCAGTACACATTTTAAATGCAGAGCATGTGGGGGGAGAGTTGTTGTGGTAAACCATGTCTGTTAACCAATAAGCAATAGCGTATTTGTTAAATGGTTATCCTGCTAGCTGCTAATATTCCTAACTCCCTTAGTATGAAATAGACATACACTAACTAGCCTTTGTAATCTAAGGCGAGATTCCCCATGCACTTTTGCCAAAACATGCTGTTCTAAATAAAATATAGAACAGATTTATTAACTACAGAAAGACAGATTTTAAGTGATTATAAATAGTAAGCATAGATATCAAAGTTGGTTACTCAAATAAAGATAAATTAGCAGTATACATTTTACAACTAAGAAGATTTGAATGAATATTTTTCTCACCTTGTCAGATGGTACAAGTAGGTTACGGTTCATCAATACACAGGCTGAGACTCCCTTCCAACCTGGGCCCAAACTTCCCCAGTTCAAAATCTTTGTCTTCCAGGTATGGAGATGGGGGTGGCGAGGATATTCCAAATGATGATGTCATTGTTTATCTTTTAATTCCTCCTTCATATTGCTAGAAAATCTCCGCTGTGACATGGGAGTCAGTCAGTCTCCATTGATCAAGCAGTCTCCACTGTGTACATATTTTCCCTAAGAAGCCTCTGGGAGCATGGATAATTTTCTCGAAGGGCCACCAATACTGTCTGGCCCTCCTTTGTTACAACTGAAAAGCTGACTGTGGGCATTTCCCAACCTCAGAACATTTCTGTAGCACATATAGCAATTATTCATAACTTCACATGATAGTACATACAATCCAATAGGATATTAATGTTCAACAAATCAGAACTTAAAATTATACCTCACAAGGCATAGTTTAAACAAAACATACCATAATTGTCATAGTGGTGAAAATGGAGGTTCCAGGGTGCTACTTTGAAGTTCAGAGTGTTAACAGTTTGTCAGTGCTCAGCTGATGCTTTCAGACTTGACAAGAGCTGACACTTGGTTTACCAGTGTCACAAAGGATTGGTGTTTCTGCATGGAAGTGGGAATAGTAGATGCTCATTAGTAGCAACATATCTGTTCTTTTGATACATTGCTCCTAAGTGGCTATTGCTGTTATGGGGAGTGTTTTCTGACCAAAGGTAGCCTGCTTTTTTCTAATACATAAACTGCTACAGTATGTTCATTACTATTGCTACAGTATTACAGGAGTATATATAATGTACATTTAAAACATGTGCTCTGTTCTGCATCCTTAGTCTACCACCATATTGTATCAAGAATATGGTATTAAGTGAGTTAAAGTTCTAAAAGTAACACCTTTTATTGGAAAAAAACAACATATAGTCTGGTAGCCCTTTATAGACTAACAAAACATGTAGATGGTATCATGAGCTTTCATGGGCACAGCCCACTTCTTCAGATGACCAGAGTTAACTCTGATCATCTGAAAAAGTGGGCTATGCCCACGAAAGCTCATGATACCAAAAATCTGTTAGTAAGAAATAAATTTCAAACCAAAATGTTTGTAGTCTGCTCTTTCTTATGTCTCAAAAAGGAGGTAGTCCATGAAAATTTGATTGGCTTGGTGGTCCATGGACTGAAATGAGTTGAGAACCACTGTTGTACACAAAGAACCATTGGCACCTTCATTGTTTGATAATGTCCCTTATTTTTGGTTCTGATAATCTTCACTCTGGTCATCTGAAGAAGTGGATTGTGCCCATGAAAGCTCATGATACCATCTACATGTTTTGTTAGTTTTTAAAGTGCTACCAGACGATTTGTTGTTTTTTTTCTGTAACAGACTAACTTGGCTACCCCCTGAAGCACCTTTTATTCGGTGATTGTAGGGATGGGTGGGTGTCTGGCAGCAGGGGTCCCGGCTGTGAGGGTGGTGTTTGCCGCTGGGGCAGTGGGCTCCGCTATGGTGTGTGATGGCAAGGGTTTCATGTGTGGGAATTGGTGTCTGATGGCAGGGCAGGGGCTGGGTTATGGGGTTGGGTATCTGGCAGTGGAGTGGAAGTGTGTGGGGTGGGTATCTGGTGGTGGGTTGGGGGGACAGGCTGGAGAGGTGGGTGTC